AAATATGTGTTGATATAATGTCACTTTTGTTGTCATTTCCATTATATATTTTTTAACATTATTGAACGTTATTTTTGTCACCAAAGTGTAGTACCTTGTCAAGTCAAAATATGGGTGTAATTGATAGATTAGGTGGTCTAAGGTATGGCTTAATATATCTTCATACATAGGTCACATATTATAGGAAAAAATAGTTTCTTCTTCTTTGTTCTGAGTAAAGCTAACAGTGGTATCAGAGCATTTTAGGGTCTTTGAAGGGAGCAAAAAAAAAACTGGTTGAAGGTTCAACTAATCAGTGATATCTCAGACAAGTAAATTTGAAGATTCAAGAGTGATGGCCTCAAGTGGTTTCTCAGCACCATTGCCTGCTGCATTTACAGGAGATAATTACGATTTTTGGGCTGCTAAAATGAAGGCATACTTGAAGGCTTATGGCTTGTGGGAGATAACTGAAACAGGAACAGAACCTCCACCATTGAGAGCTAATCCAACCATTGCTCAGTTGAAACAGCATGGTGAGGAGGTAGCAAAAAAGTTTAAAGCTTTATCTTGCATTCAATCCGCCGTATCTGATGCAATCTTCACCAGAATCATCACATGCGAGACAGTAAAGGAGGCCTGGGATCGGTTGCAAGAGGAGTTTAGGGGAAATGCAAGAACAAGACAAATGAAAGTGCTCAACCTGAGAAGAGAGTTTGAGAGTCTGAAGATGAAGGAGACTGAATCTGTCAAAGATTATTCTGACAAATTAATGAAGGTTGTGAATCAAATAAGACTCTTGGGAGATGAGTTAAGTGACAAGAGAATTGTGGAAAAGGTTCTTATCAGCTTGCCTGAGAAGTTCGAAGCTAAAATCTCATCACTGGAGGACTCAAGGGATCTGTCTTCAATGTCTGTGGCTGAACTTGTTAATGCATTGCAAGCCACTGAACAAAGACGTCTGATGAGGCAAGAAGAACAGGTAGAAGGAGCCTTATTTGTTAAAGGAAAATTTAAGGCACAAATCAGTTATGGTGTGAAGCAAAACCAGCCTGGAAGAAGGAGACCTGATGATAGTAGAAGTGCTACTAATAAAAATGTGGATTATCCACCTTGTCCCCCATTGCAAAAAATCTAGTCATTCACCCAAGTGGTGTTGGTATAGACCTGGAGTTCAATGTAGGGGGTGTAAATAATTTGGTCACATTCAAAAAGTGTGCAAAAACTCGAAGGAAAAACCGAACCAACAGCAAGCACGGTTGACAGAGGATCAAACACAGCAACTGGAGGAGCATCTGTTTTCAGTAATCAGTTCAAAAATTGGAAATGCTAATGAATCTTGGTTGTTGGATAGTGGTTGTACTCGTCATATGACCTCAGATTCAAGCATTTTTGTTGAGCTAGATAATGCATACAGGTCCAGTGTGAAAGTTGAAAATGGAGAACATATGGAAGTGAAGGGGGTAGGCAAAATTTCTGTGCAAAATCCATCAGGTACCAAGTATATTTCAGATGTTCTTTTTGTCCCTGAAATTGATCAGAATCTAATAAGTGTCGGCCAGTTAATTGAGAAAGGTCATATGCTTATATTTAAAGACAATATGTGTACTATACTTGATTCATTAAATCAAGAAGTGATGAAAGTAGATATGAGACATGGAAGCTTTCCTTTGGAACTCAGAAATGTGAAAAATCAGGCACTCATTGGGACTGTGAATGAATCACCTTCGTGGCATAAACGGTTTGGGCATGCTAACTACAAGTCACTTGAACAAATGCATGATTTGGAGCTAGTAAAAAATATGCCTAAGATTAGTAAGGATGAATGTGTGTGTGATACTTGTCAATTGGGAAAATTATCAAGGCTGCCGTTTGACAAAAACTCAGCTAGGAGAGTAGAAAATAAACTTGATCTTATACATTCAGATGTGTATGGTCCAATGAGGGTATCAACATTGAATGGAAGTAGATACTTTGTCCTTTTTATTGATGATAAAACCAGAATGTGTTGGGTTTACTTCTTGAAAATGAAGTCACAAGTTGCTGGTATATTTCAGAAGTTTAAGACGCTTGTGGAAAACAAATGTGACAGAAAAATTAAAGCTATCAGATCTGATAATGGAACTGAATATTGCTGCAATCAATTTGACAGATTTTGTGATGAAATGGGAATTAAACACCGGCTAATTGTGCCTTATTCTCCTCAGCAAAATGGGGCTTGTGAAAGGAAAAATAGGACAATTATGGAGATGGCTAGATGTCTATTGTTGGAGAAGAACATCCCTAAGGAGTTTTGGGCAGAAGCTGCCAATACAGCTGTGTACTTACTAAACAGATTGCCAACAAAATCATTGGATAAAATGACACCTTATGAAGCTTGGAATGGTGTTAAACCAGATGTGTCCCACATTAAGGTATTTGGAAGCCTTTGTTATGTGCATATACCAGATGTGAAGTGGGACAAGTTGAGTAAGAAAGCTGATATTGGTATCTTGATTGGATATTGTGAAAATGCAAAAGGCTATAAAGTGTATAATCATCAATCAAAGAAGATGATGTCCAGCAGGGATATCAAGGTTGATGAAGGATCATCTTGGAATTGGGAACTTGACTTGGAGACCAGCAAAGAAAATCAGTCTCAGATTCCAAGAATGGTCACAAATGAAGTAGATGAAATGGGCAATGATGAAGTAGGGATTGAACTTGATCATTTAGAGGCTGATAGTGGATCTGATATAGAAAATCCAGTGCTAAGAACAAGGCCATTAGCTAATATATACGCCAACTGCAACACAGCATTACTGGAACCATCAAATCTTGCCAAGGCTATAAATTCTCAAGTGTGGATGGCTGCTATGGAAGAAGAACTGAGAATGATCAATAAGAATGGAACTTGGGAGCTAACTGATAGAACAAGAGATAAGCATGTCCTTGGTATAAAATGGGTGGTCAAGACTAAGTTGAATGCAGATGGATCATTTAATAAAGCCAAAGCCAGACTTGTTGTGAAGGGCTATGAACAACAATATGGGATTGATTATTCTGAAACATTTGCCCCTGTTGCAAGGTATGAAACCATTAGATTATTACTTGCAATTGCTGCTATAAGAGGCTAGAGAGTTGCTGGAGAGTTCATCATTTAGATGTCAAGTCTGCCTTTCTAAATGGTTGGCTGAATGAGGAGATACATGTTGAAAAACCGGATGGTTTTGCTATTGCTGGAGAAGAAAACAAGGTCTATCTACTCAAGAAGGCTTTGTATGGCTTGGAGCAGGCTCCAAGAGCCTGGTATATTAGGATTGATGATCATTTGATGAGTCTTGGATTCACTAAAAGTGTGAATGAACAGGCACTTTATTTCAAGCAAAGGGAGGATGAAACTACCATCATTTCCTTGTATGTTGATGACTTGCTGGTAATTGGGAGCAATCAAGAGGTTGTTGACAAGTTGAAGGATGAAATGATGACAGTCTTTGAGATGACAGATTTGGGGATTGCAAATTATTTCCTTCGCATGGGAATTTATCAAACTCAAAACGGGATTTTTGTGAACCAGTAGAGATATGCTGAGAATGTGCTGAAGAAGTTTAGCATGGAGAAATGTAAGCCCGTTAATACACCTATTGTTCAAAATCTGAAGCTGATGAAGGAGGATGACAACAAGAAGAGTGATGAAAAGGTGTATAGAAGTCTTGTGGGATGTCTTTTGTATTTAACCATTACACGGCCTAATCTCACGTTTGTTGCAAATCTGCTGTCCAGATTCAGACAAAAGCCCAGTGATCTTTATTTTCAAGCAGCTAAACGAGTCTTAAGGTATATCAGAGGGTGTACTGATCTTGGAATCTGGTTTAGGAGATCAGAAAGTTATGTTTTAACAGATTGCTCTAATAGTGACTGGACTGGATCAAGTGATGACATGGAGAGCACTTCAGGCTATATATTCTACCTGGGATCAAGTCCCATCTGCTGGAACTCAGTGAAGCAAAAGACCTTCACAATCTACAGCAGAGGCAGAATATATAGCTACATCCGAAGCAACCAATCAGGCAATTTGGCTAAGAAAAGTGTTGGCAGATTTGAGTCACAAGCAAGAAGAAGCTACTGTCATTAACTGTGATAGTCAATCAGCTGTGGCTATGATCAAGAATCCCGTTTATCATGGTAGGACAAAGCATATAAAGATCAAGTATCATGCTATTCAAGAGGCACAAGCAAATCGTGAAGTGAAGCTGGTCCATTGCAAATCTGAAGATCAATATGCGGATGTTTTCACAAAATCTTTGTCCAAGGATAAGTTTGAAACATTAAGGATATGTCTTGGTGTTTCCAACAAAAGTGCCATGGAAGAGTGTTGATATAATGTCACTTTTGTTGTCATTTCCATTATGTATTTTTTGTACATTATTGAAGGTTATTTTTGTCACCAAAGTGTAGTACCTTGTCAAGTCAAAGTATGGGTTTAATTGATAGATTAGATGGTCTAAGGTATGGCTTAATATATCTTCATACATAAGGTCACATATTATATGAAAAAATAGTTTCTTCTTCTTTGTTCTGAGTAAAGCTAACAATATGAAATCACAACATTTAGCTTCAAAGTTAATTTTTATTTCCCACCAATTAAAATAAAAATAGTTTGCTTTTATATTATTGGCTAGTGGGTAACTAATTACTAAACACACTTTTAAATAAATTTTAAAAACAAAAATCCATTAGTTTAATGTCTTAAATTTTATATTTAATTTGATAGCTCAAATATTCTCATCCATGGACTGGTTAGTCTAGACAGTAATTATTAACTAACTAGGTTTTGTTTCATCTAGAAAGAAATATGAACTAGAGAAACTAACTCAAACTCATTGTTTGTTTTGCTAGTGATGAATACATGCACAAGTTAAAACTCGAATCTCTTTCTCTTGCTAAAATTAGAACTTGAAATAGAAACAGGCAAATGGATAAATTTATTATATCCAATCAAGAATACATAGTGCGCAAAATAAAAGATACATTAATAATTTTTATTGCCAATCGTATTTTTTGAACGCTTGCTCGTTCAAATTCTGAAAATAAATGCCATCACTTTTGGCTAGCCAAAAGGAAGCACCACCATCACACTCGCGTTTTCCCCATTTTGAATTAAAAACATCGAAAGATTGCTTCTTTGAACCCCATCCAAGAGTGCAGAAAAACAATGTATTTCCAAATAAGCTATCACAAAACTCCCAATCAAATTCTCGGCTATAAGTAAGAGTATGATTTCCAAGATCATCATCTTTAGATGCACAATGCAACATCAGTAAAGATTGAGGTGGGAGGTTATTGAATACATATACTGAATATTTTTTAGTGAAATGGCAAGAGGTAACTATGTGTGGAAGACTGCAGGACAGTAGAATACGAAATAAAAAGAGACTTTTCATCATGGTACAATAATTTAGATTGCTGTAAAATGAATTTGATGTGTTGAATTAAGATTTTAGAAGGCCTTTATAGTCGCAATTCTTTGAGCCCGTCAAGATATTTCGTGGACAAACTTCAATGTAATTTTGGAAAATATTTTTGCAATTCGAAATGAATCCACAAATTTAACAATTATCAGAAACCCTAATTGAAATCTTATTTTTTAATTCGTATTTTACGTCAATTTAATTCATGTTTACCTTAGCTAGATGATTGGGTCGTATCTTTCCTTATTTGTGTATCCTTACCCAATGATTATGTAAATCCATCAAAATTATCTTTCAAATTTAAGGGTTTGAAATTTTAAGTGGCAACTAATTAATGAAAATTTTCAATGCTCAAATTATTATTGTGTTCAAAACTTGTGTCCAAAATTATCGTTCATTTATCGTCATTACTCATAGTAATTATACATAATTCAATGTGTATGTGCATGTAAACAAGGTGCTCTACCAATTAAATTAAGATGCAATCCCGATACTAAAGATACAAAAAATATTCAACTATGAATCTCATGGTTTGTTTTGATCGCGACTCACGATGAATTGACGTGCACTAATTAAAAATCATTTAGTTTTGCCCCCTTGAAACTCCATGAACTAATATTTCTTTTGATTTTTACTCTACACTTACATAATGAATATAAGACATTTTTGCTGACTAATGTTTCTCGTTCTTCTTTAAAAAGCATGATATCCTTCTATAACCATAAATTGATACTTTATTAAGAAAATAGGGATTACTTCCTAATTAAAAAACTAAATGGAAAAATAAAAGATTTTAACTCAAAATATACTGAAATAATCACACACTAATAATTTTTTTCCCAGTCATAATTTTTCAGCGTCTTTCGTGTCAAACCATGAAAAACAATGTTGTAACTATTATTGTTGATTATGGTGAAATAATTAATAAGAGTTGGGATATTGAATATATTCATATTGACATTATCAAACCACGTTAAATCAATTTTGTTAGCACTGGTTGTATATTCCTATTTTATTATATATACACGGACGAACAACAACAACAAAAAAAAAAAAAAAAAAAGTTCCGCTGTGTATTAATTAGTCTGTTTTACCAACACTCCGAAACAGACAAAATGAAGGAGAAAATAAAGACGTGCAAACGAGGAGAAAGGAAAATAGGAAGGTCTATAGTCTATAAAAAAAATTTATTCAGTTTTAACTCTGCCCTTGCTAAAATTAGATTGGTCACACTGGATTCATACGTTCTCATTTTTGGAGAGACCATACTTTTGGCATAAACGAGAGGATTAGGTGGAGCAATATGTAAGACCTGTTTTGGCTGCCAATAAGATGAGACGAAGACGAAGGTTCAGAAAAGTAAAAGAAATTATTTTTCGACTGCGGGCATTTTATAAAGTAGAATTTCTTTTCTCTCTGGTTTTTGTCCAAATTTGGGTTATAGCTCAATTCGGACGACTAAGGTTGAATCCAAAATAATATGAATCATGATATCAGTTAGTGTTGTATTGCAGCAATTGGAATTTATTATCAATTATGATTATGAATTCCGAAATCTCAATGCAAGTAGATAGTTTCTGATATTATCAACATTGGAATAGCCTGAGGAGTGTCTTACTCGAGGACTCAATCATGCTTCACCCATACTTTCCTGGTACGAAGTCCTCGGGGTAAGTAAGTCCTCGAGATACTAATCCTACGGACTTGGTTCATACTGCCATGGGACTCACATGTTAGTGTCCTCGAGAAAATAGTCCTTGGGTCATTGTTCTCTAAGATATCCCCGAGGTGCAGATGTTTACCCAACAAAAGTTCTACCCTCCAAGGGCTCTATGTCAACTCTAACACCATTGGTCGTACAATTATATTACAAGTACGACATTTCTCTCAAGTAGGACTATATTGGATAAGTACATCCAACTAGTTCAATCCTTATAGGATTGAACTACCCACCTCTATAAATATAGACCCTCAACCCATTAATCAAGTACGTTATACACTTATAGTTTTCAGCATATATTTTTCCTCAATTCCCTATCTGACTTAAGCAATGGAGGGGCGATGAAAATATATCTTGTTGCCTTTATTTCAAGAACCGAAAGACTACGTTCATGCTTGTAATCAGTCCTCATCCTCGAGATTTACAAGGTACGATTTTTGGTAGCATTAGTAGCGCTGTCTATGGGAATTGCTACTGATACTGACATTCCCTGCGTATCCCGATCATTTGGGAGGAATTTTCTTATGATTTCCAGTCATATGTGCTCGGGATGTGTTCGATGTCCTCAGGGAAATGTGCCCGATCTCTATTTTCCAACAAATTACCACAGGATACGAGATGTCCCCGGGAATAATACGTCGGGCAAATCCCATGAGGTCCTCAACTACCATCTTGAGAAGGTCTGTCCATTGGGAACTCTAATCTGACACAAACACTTCAACCCATATCTCCTAAACCTAGGAGAGTTCTCTTGGTTATTGGTCTTCTAACCATGGTAGAATTCAAGCACTGCTTTCTTATAGGACTCTTATCAGATAAGACTATCTAACTAGTTGAATCCTACTAGGAAAGCACGTTATACCTTTATAAATACAGAACCTTGAGCCATTATTCATGTACATTTTCATTATTCTCCAGTTTATAGCATCACGCATATAATTTCCTTTCTGACTCAAGTATCGGAGGGGCGACGAAAACACACCTCGTTGCCTTTGTTTCAGGAACCGAAACACTACAATCGTGCTCATTCAAAGTCCTCAAACTCAGGAAATCAACATGTACGATATTTGGTAGTATCATTGGCGCCGTCTGTGGAAAACGCTTTACCAAAAGCCATGGTTAACACACGATCAGGTCTTCCCCCGCAAGCTCATCCGCTCCCATCCCTCATCCTGCTGATAATCAACCGGCTCCTCAAGAAGAAACCTCTGGAGTGCCTGCACCTCAGCGGGCGGCCTTCACAATTGAAGCATTTGAATAGCTCCGTCAGCAGGTGGCCACGCTAACACAGTTGTTAAGTCAAAGAAATTCGCATCCGTCACAGGTGCAAGTAGAGCATGGTGATTTTATGGCTGATGCTCGAGCCTGAGCACCAAACCCTGCAACTGGCGAAGTAGGGACCTCGGGTATTCGTAACATGCCCTCGGGCTCAAGATCAGTTGCTATGAATTCCGGAGAGATTGCCCGGATCATTCAGGCAGGAATTACGACTGGCCTGCAACGGAATGCTCGAGGGCGAACAGGTTTTATCCCTAACACTCCATTCACGCCGAAGATATTATCATATCCCCTTCCCGACAAATTCAAATATTCTCGCATTAAGGAGTATGATGGGACGACTGATCCAATCAATCATCTCAATGTATATACTGATGTCATGAATTTGTAAGTTGTGCCAGATCAAGTTATGTGCAAAGCCTTCCTACAAACACTGACTAATGCTGCTAGGGATTGGTTCTCGACATTGGAGCCCAACTCCATAGCCTCATTCTCAGATTTGGCTGATAAGTTCTCAATCTTCTTTGCAAGTAGCAAGCGTATCAGAAAGACTACGGCCTCTCTCATGCAACTTCGCTAGGGACCAAATGAAACCCTACGAGAATTTATGACGAGGTTTAACAAGAAAAGACTTCAAATACCTGACCTTCACATTACGACGGTAGTTTTCGCCCTCACCTATGTCATAGGGTGTGAAGCCTTCAAAATGTCCTTTTCAAAGACCCCGCCACAAACAGTGACCGAGCTCCTTACACGGGTTGAAAAATACATTAATATGGAAAAAACACTGAACCCAAGGAGACCTGGTCCTTCTTATGAAAGGGCTGAGAATAAGAGACAGCATGACGTCACCTGTCGACCCGAGCATCCTCGGGACAAGCGCAAGAATGAAGGGCCGTCAAGGCCTCTCACCCGATTGAACACAACCAAGGAAAAAAATTTGATAGGGATCAAGGATATGAAAGAGTTGAAGTAGCCTTCAAGGATAAAGTCGCCCCCTGACACAAGAGATAAGAGCAAGTATTGTGAATTTCACCGAGAGCATGGGCACCACGGAGGATTTTCAAGCCTTACAGCGAGAGATTGAAGCCCTCATCAAAAGAGGGCTCTTAAGAAATTACATCGATCATGATACGCCCGAAGAATGATCGTGACAATCAGAAAGAGCTTGGAGCAGGAAGTAGTGCTCAACCAACTGCTGGGACCATTAATATTATCATTAGAGACATAGCATCTGGAGGAGACATAAACAGTGGGCAAAAGCAGTATGCCCGACGACATGCTCATACCCCAAGGGAATCCCGTGATGAAGTGAAAGACATTACCTTTGGGGCAAGGGATTTGGAAGGAGTATCATATCCTCATGACGATGCCTTGGTGGTCTCTGCAATTGTGGCTAACTTCGAAGTAAAGAGGATTCTTATCGATAATGGGAGTACAGCAAATATACTCTCACATGAAGCTTTTTCTAAGATGGAGAACAACTCAGAACAGTTAAAACTCCTCTACAAGGATTTGGTGGTGGAGTCATTATCCCAAAAGGAATCGTCGAACTTCCGCTTCCTTTAGGTCCTAACAACGCCCAAGTGACGGAGATCATACCCTTCCAAGTGGTTAACACTCATATGGCTTACAGCATCATTCTGGGAAGACCCCTACTGAACAAGATCCAAGCCATTGTATCAACTTTCCACCGGGCCATGAAGTTCCCAACAGGTCATGGCATCGGAGTAGTTCGAGGAGACCAAACAGCTGCCAAATAATGCTATGTTACTAACATCCGAGGAATGAGTACAGACGTCATGCAACTTTCAGACCTCGAGCTCGATCCAAGAGGCAGACTTGCCCCGGTTAAGAAATTGGAGATGGTTGAGCTCGATCCAAGAGGCAGACTCAAGCATGAAAAAATGATAACTATTGGTCGGGATCTCAAGGTCAGCCTCCAGGAAGAAGTCATCAATTGCCTGTCCCGCAACATTGATGTTTTTGCATGGAAGGTCGAGAATATGCTAGGGATAGACCCTGAAGTAGCGGTCCATAGGCTCAACATAAGCTCAGGGGCCAAACCTGTTAAGCAAAGGAAGAGACAGTTCACGCTAGAAAGACGTGTGGTCATTCAGGGAGAGATCGGCAAACTGGTGAGAGCGGGGTTCATAAGGGAAGTCCACTACCCCAATTGGCTCGCTAATGTTGTTCTTGTGAAGAAAGCTAGTAGCAAATGGAGGGTCTGCATCGACTTTACGAATCTCAATAAGGCATGCCCTAAAGACTGTTACCCGCTATCTAGGATTGACAATCTTGTGGATAACACGTCCGAACATAAGTTGTACAGCTTCTTAGATGCATTCTCAGGGTATCATCAAATCCTCATGGCCAAGGAAGACCAAGAGAAGACTTCATTCATGGCTGATTCAACCATATACTGCTCCAGGGTGATGCCATTTGGGTTGAAAAATGCTGGGATAACATATCAGAGGCTCATCAACAAAGTCTTCGCTGATTTGATAGGGAAGAACATTGAGGCCTATGTTGACAATATGGTGGTAAAGAGTAAGAAGGCAGAGCAGCACATGTTGAGGAAGTGTTCGCGACCCTACGAAAATATCGGATGAAGCTCAACCCAGAGAAGTGTGTATTCAGTGTGGCCTCGAGAAACTTTTTGGGCTTCATGATCACTCATCGGGGGATCGAAGCAAACCCCGATAAGATCCAGGCCTTGGCAGTAATGGAATTGTCCGATACTAAGAAAGAGGTTCAAAAGTTGACAGGTAGGGTAGCAGCCCTAAGCAGGTTCATGTCCCAAGCAACAGACAGCTACTTCCTCTTCTTCAAAGCTCTCAGAGGCAGCCAATCTTTTGAATGGAATGAGAAGTGTGAGAAGGCGGACACTTTGTTTTTGTACTTAGCCGTGTTTCAGAATGCAGTGAGCAGCGTCTTGGTAAAAGAGGTCAACAGAGCCCAACAGCCCATTTACTATATAAGTAAAGTCCTACTTGATGCAGAGACAGGTACACTTTGGGCGAGCAACTTGCCCTACCCTAATAGTGGTAGCACGAAAGTTTCGACAATATTTTCAGTCTCATTCTATTGTGGTGCTCACCAATCAGCCTTTGAAACACATCCTTCAAAAGCTAGACGTCTCAGGCAGGTTACTAAAGTGGGCAATTGAACTAGGAGAGTTTGACATAGAGTTCAAACCCCGTCCATCCATCAAAGCTCAAGCCTTAACAAATTTTATCGCAAAACTCACCCCAAGGCCTCGAGGTCCATATGAGAACTCGAGCACTACGATAGATGTTTGGCAAATTTTAGTGGATGGAGCATCGAACTCCTCAGGCTCGGGTGCAGGGGTCGTCATAACGAGCCCAGACATGCTCATAGACATTAAGTGTGCACTCAGGTTCGAATTCAAGGCAACCAATAATGAAGCCGAGTACGAGGCTGTCATCATAGCTTTAGAACTTGTCATTAATCTCAAACTTGAAAACATCAAAATTTTTAGTGATTCCCAACTGGTGGTTGGGCAGATTGATGGAACATTCGAGAAGAAAGATGAAAAAATGGGCTTATACTGCTTGAAAGTTCATGATTTTCGATGAAAATTGAAGAGTTGTGAAATTGTGAAGATTACCCGGGCTGACAACTGCAAGGTAGACGCCTTATCAAGGTTGTGTTCATAGGAGTAAATGGACTTGACAGGACAGTACATGTCAGATTTGTGACCGAGCCAGCATCAATCCAACCGTTGGAGTCATGGACGTTGATCATGAGCTGTCATGGATGGACCCAATTGTGAATTTCATAACAAATGGCAATCTTCCAGAAGAACCTCGAGCAGGAAGAAGCATCCGTTCGAAAGCTCCAATGTATTGCATTATCAATGGGATCTTATTTTGCAGAAGCTTCACACTTCCATAACTTATGTGCCTTAAGCCTTCAGAATCCTCCCAAGCCCTGGAGGAAATTCATGGAGAAGTATGTAAGAACCATCAAGGAGCCCGGGCGTTGGCCTTTAAGCTCATAAGGTATAGATATTACTGGCCTACCATGAAGAAGGATGTCGTAGAATATGTGAAAAAATGTGACAAGTGCCAGAGATTTGGCTAAGTTATCCACTCTCCTGCCGAGGACCTC